GTATCGGTATCGGATCAGTATCGTCGATACCACCCTGAATATTACTTGGTATCGGATCGGAAAGGAAATCAGTGGTATCGCACATCACTAGTTTGTGGGCATTCATTTATACACAGTTCGCTTAATATCCTGTTACAGCTTTGCAATCTGGTTCATTTCAAAAACTGATTATTTTCTTTTTTAGGCATTCTGTAGATTTGCTAGTGTGCTTGGGATCATTGTCTTGCAATATGATTTTATTGTTAATAAAGCTAATATAATATGCCTGTCCTATATGGACTCTGTATTTGAATTTTCTTTGTAAAAGAAAGCCAGTATGTTGATTCTCTCTCCACAATTAAATGTGACTCAAGTGACTTCTTGTGTGCAGTGTATTGTGATCAGTGGGGAAAGTGGAGCAGGGAAAACAGAGAGTGCTCATCTGCTGGTGCAGCAGCTGACGGTTCTCGGGAAGGTGAGTCATGAAATCCAACCAGCACAACGCTTGATCGTTTGGTAGATATTCTGTTAACGCAGTTTGAAGATCTTGTAATGAGTTCATTGGTGCTGCAGTTAGTGCCAGTCATGATATGAAGGCCAACTAAACAGGAAATTTCATTTCTCTTGACCTTTTTTGTATTCATATGAGCAGATTATAGAAAGTGGTAGTGCTACTTGTCACAGTGTAACACTTTCTTTTTTTTTTAAAATTAGTCCCCCAAACTAAAGTGGAATGATATTTTGTTTAGGCCAATAATAGGACACTCCAGGAGAAGATCCTGCTGGTCAACAGCTTGGTGGAGGCATTTGGAAATGCCTGCACTGTCATCAATGACAACTCCAGCCGCTTCGGCAAGTACCTGGAAATGAAGTTCAACGGTGGTGGAACAGTGGTCGGAGCACAGATATCCGAGTATCTGCTGGAAAAATCCAGAGTTGTCCACCAGGCGATGTAAATATCACTTCCTGTTTCTTGTGTTGGTCTCGGTTATAACAGTCAAATGAAGGTGACTGTTATCACCTTCATTTGAGAGTGCCATTCATAGAAAAATACAAATAATCTCTCTGTTCATTTTCTGAAAGAACATTGCCGTGAAGGTTATTGTTCTGCCCGCTTTCCACGGATCAGCGGATAATAGATTGTCTCTTTTTCTTGCTCTCTTTCACATCTGCTTTTTCATTTGAAACTGGTGGCATTTGCTTTCACCTGCATTTCACTCGGTCCATCATTTCTTCTTATCGTGTGTCTGGGGAGCAGACCGGGTCAAGTGGAAGGGCTAGCTTATTTCCTGTTGGATCAAAGATTGTGGTCTTGCGTGTGTCTTTAAGGGAACTTCAAAGACACACTCAAGTACTGCATTGGAAAACAGACACACGTCAGAAAGGGCTCGATTAGGCCGTACATTGTATGAATATTTAGTCTGTTAATGGGTGTCGTATTTGGGTTAATAGAAAACAGGGTGAACTCTTATGTTTTCATGAATTAATCTTTATTCACATGTTGCATATTTTGTTACCCCTGCAAGATACTTTTCAATTGCTTCATTTTGGGTATATTTTAATGACACACACACACACCTGAAATGATTGTTGATGCTTTCCGATGGGATTTGGTGACAGTATCCTGAATCAAATTTAGTTTAATTATCCTGTTGAAACAAAAATGGTTATTTACTAATGGATTTAGCAAAAGATTAGACAGGTTTTCCTTCATCATATTCATGATTAATATAAATTTAAGCTTAAATTTTATTCATAATAAACAACCAAAGGCATTCAGTGTCCATCATCATTCATCTATGCTTGTAATTTATTTAAGTCTTACAATAATTTAAAGAAGGATCGTCAGCCTTCTTTATTCAAACGAATATGGGAAGGCGTAGGATTGTTTGCAGATTATATTAGTTTGTCTGTTTTCCCTCCAAATTCCAAAACTATGACATCACAACAATGGGATTGGTCAGTAGCAATGTTGATCCTGGACACTATTAACATGATGCAGGAGTAACACGAACATGGAGATATCAGCTACACCAGGTTTTTAAAAAGCTGGAAACATGTTAACTAACGATTCCTGTGCTTATTTTAGCATTGATCATGTTTATTTTGTTATAAATTTTCTTAAAAAAACAAAACTGGAGTCATGTTAATCATGTGGCGAAAACATTTACCTAGCATGTCTCCTTTTCAAGAATTTGATTTCCACTATATGTGCGTGTTTCCACAGGGGGGAGAGGAACTTCCACATCTTTTACTACATTTATGCTGGTCTGGCTGACAGGAAGAAGCTAGCCCACTACAAGCTCTCTGACAGCAAAACACCTAAGTAGGTTTGACATTCCTCAGCAATTTTCCCAAAACACTGTTATCTGCGTCCCATGCTGCAAACTCCCAACTTCCAGAGACCCCAGTGGTTCCTTTTTGTTTTGCAGGTATCTGTACCACGAGAACATTAAACTTGGGCCTGACATAGTGAACAACGCTTCCTACAAGGAGCAGTTTGATGCAGTCGAGCAGTGTTTCAAAGTCATTGGATTCACCCTGGAGGTATAAACTGATGGATTCATTACTGGGCCACAGGTTTAGCAGTATAACCTTGATCCCAGTGTTCACACTGACTTGTTCTCACTCGCCCCCATTAAAGTCACTCTATGTAAAAATAACATGTAAACAATCTTACTAGCTATAGCACCAGTATTGCTGGCATTTCAGAATCAGTGTGATCATGCCGGCCCTCTCGTCTTGTATATATGGCTTGTGATGGAACATAAAGCTGCAGGCACATGTAGGCAGTCAGTTCTTGACATTGTGAAAACCTAATGAGGCTCAAAGTACTGATTGCTCTTGGGATCTCCACATCAATAGTACTTATGTTATAATCACTTGGCAGTGCTATTTTACTGTGTCGTTTTGTCGTCCATGAAATGCACTTCAAGCTGATCCCTTAATATATGTGCTGCAGGTGAATTAGTGTTTTTTTTGTTTGTTTTTTCAAATCTGCATTGTTTGTAGATTTAAGACTTTAACAAACTGTGCCCGTTTTTGGTCTATTTGAACTGCTTTCATAGTTCAAAATAATAATTGAGCCACCTATTTTCGGATTGGCTACTCCTGGCAAACAGAAGTTTAAACAGCAGGTGGGCGGAGCTTCTGTGCTCAAAGCTAGAGCTATGAGTCTGAGGTGACCATATTAGGGATAGTTGCACACACTGATACATGTTTCCATACAAACTGTATTTGTTCTAATTTTTTGCAGGAGCTCGGAAATGTTTACAGCACACTGGCTGCCATCCTCAACTCTGGGGACGTTGAGTTTTCTCCAGTTGCCTCAGAGCACCAAACAGACAAGAGCAACATCTGCAACATGTCTGTCTTGGAGAACGGTAAGAAAAGAGAGAAAGAAGCACAGTGATTGATGACAGAAAACCAAATATGACTCTGACTTTCCTCTGCTACACCCCCTTCATCCGCCTCCCTCTTTTGCTAACCATCATTAACTCTGCAGGAGTCCTCCATGTTTAGATAAATACAGGAAATGATTTGGTTAAATCAATTACCCAAGACTGCGTTAGTACATAAAAATCATTAAGAAGCATACATTTGTAATGGTTAGATATTATAGTGCATGCTTTGCATTATATTTTCTGAATTCAAACACCTGTTCTGAATGGTAATTTAGAAAACAACATAGATGCGGCCTATTAATTGAATGAATATTCTCCTGCTCAGTCAGAATGAGGCTACATATTGCATAAGATGTGCTGCTTTGAGTAAACTCCACACTATAAATGCTAACTTTTATCCCCTTCCTTATCTCATGTCACCTCAGTGGCATCTCTGCTTCGTATCCGCTCAGACGAGCTGCAGGAAGCCCTGACCTCCCACTGTGTTGTGGCCCGCGGAGAGACGATCGTCAGACCCAACACAGTGGAAAAAGCGGTGGAGGTGAGGGACGCCATGGGTAAAGCTCTCTACAGCCGCCTCTTCAGCTGGATTGTCAACCGAATCAACGCGCTGCTGCGGCCTGACAGCCAAGGGTAAGATGGGGGGGCAGAGAGTGTAACGGTGTGTTTGGTTGTCACGAATGAGGTCGTCTGACAAAGTTCCTGCTTTTGGATTAAAATAGATACACAACTAGATTCACTGCCAAGTCTTTAAAACTGCAGAATATACTAGCATTTCGTGGGCACGTTATACCCATTTTGTGCCCACGAAGTAGTATTTTGTGGCCACAATTTATTTATTTTTTGGACCATGTCATCAGAGGGGCTCCGTAGTTTTAAACATAAAAAGACTATAAATGAATTATAAATGAATAAATTTGAATAAATGATGATGAATAAATTTCTAACATTTAAATGATGTCTGTCTACTAACATCCTCTCAGCTGAAGTGCTAAAAATTGCACTTCCGCTAATGGCCACTAGAGGCTCATTCTAGAAGCCTCTAGAGCAGGGGTGGGCAATCTCAGTCCACAGGGGCAGGTGTCCCTGCAGGTTTTAGATCTCACCTTGGGTCAACACACCTGAATCACATGATTAGTTCGTTAGCAGGCCTCTGGAGAACTTCAAGACATGTTGAGGAGCTAATTTAGCCATTTAAATCAGCTGTGTTGGTTCGAGGACACATCTAAAACCTGCAGGACACCGGCCCTCGAGGCCTGGAATTGCCCACCCATGCTCTAGAGTCATACACTCCATGCCCAGTTTTCAAGCAGAAATAAACATTTCTGCAGCCTGCTACAAAATTCTCTTATGCTATTTCTAGCTAATTTACACCTTTATGACAGATGTATGTTGGTAAATTTTAAAAAAATATTTTAAGGCTTTAAGTTTTACTTTTTACATTATTTCGTCCATTTTGAATTATTTTCTCAAAGGTCTGAATGAGTAAGTTTAAATTTTGACAAAAAATAATCTGAAATTTTGACTTGCTGTATGGATGGGGAAAAAAATCAGTTGCAGATAAGCTTCCAACTAAATACCCAAGACCTTTTACTTTTTACACAAGTAAGAATCATAACTTAAAAATAAGAAAAGTATGTGAGTGGTCAGCTAGAGTAGAGAAGTGCAAAATAAGAACCAGTCCACTTACCATTTAAGTGTCAGGCTACCAGAACAACATAGCCATCCCTAGCACCACACGGTTAGCTATTCTATAAATGCATTTAAAGATTTAACATTTTATCCTCGTCTTCTCCAGAGAGGACGACAAGGGCCTTAACATCGGCATCTTGGACATATTTGGTTTTGAAAACTTCAAGAAGAACTCCTTCGAGCAGCTCTGCATCAACATTGCCAACGAGCAGATCCAGTTTTACTTCAACCAGCACATCTTTGCGTGGGAACAGGTAAAGTTCAGCCCACGAACCTCACACCAGCATGCCCGCCAGCCTGTCACTAAATTCAAATAACACTTTCTCAGAACGTGAATCCCTCCTGAACAGCTCTCTGTGTGCAGTTTTCACCTTGGTTCTAACTCATTTCCATCTAAATTGAGATAACATGTCATCGTTTGTCAGTCTGCATTTTAAAAGAGATGGCAAGGGTAAAATATGCTGCCGTCTTTATTCACGGCAGAATGAGGTTCTCTGTTCTCCCCTCGTGCAGTCTCGTGAGAGGGTTTTGCCTTTGGGGGGGTCAGAGAATGGTTTGCCAATGTTAAATGATTTGGAGTCACCCACTGGGAGGTGTTATAAATCATTCTAAACGAGGGTCAATTAGGAGTTGAAGACACTTAGTGCTGGACTTAAATTCACTCTTGGGTATTGTTGGAACCAGGCCCAGAAATATATTGTCCTATGCAGCCATCATATGTATATCCAGAACATAAGGGAAATGTACGGTGCTGTGAGATTGATAGTTCTACATAAATAAGGCAGAATTAAAGGATTCCTGTGTGGTAAGGTTTTATCAGCAGTGCATTTACTCCGCTGCCCTCATGTTTTCATGTATGTTTATGCGTGTGGTTGCATATTGTCCCAATCTATCTGCATCCATGCAGATTTTTTTTCTGCTTCACTTCATTTTCTTCACAGTGGCACTTCATGCTTGAATAAGCAGATTGATTTGTTATTGTTTGTTCCCATTTTGACTTGTTCTCCGTGGAGTAGAAGTCCCTGCTGATGTTGCTGAGTCATAGTAGCAGCTCTGAGTCAGCCTGATGTGATCAGGTTTGCTCACTTTGCCCTGCAAACCAGATTCATCAGAGTCGAGTTAAGAGGAGATAAAAGACAACAAATCAACATCGTTGATTTAATATCGTCCTGTCCATAAACAGCTGCTTTGGGACAATTTATGTAGGTAAATTTCTAGACGCTTTTATTTTAAAAGGTCAAGCCTTTGTGAACGCTAAAGCGTGACATTAAAGAAATAAAACCGAGGATATAAAACTGTACTGCTGTTTAATGGATCTTAAAGTGCATTTGGTATTGTAAGACAAGATTTCACTCATGCAGAAATACGGCTTTATTATTAAGGCAGCAGCATTAATAGCATCTTAGTATCAAGGAGATCAAGGAGGAATGACTATTGACCATGTATAGTAACCCAGTCCTAAAGGCTGTCCTGTAACAGTGAATATGTGTCATTAACCAGAGACCAGAAAAGCTACAGTGTCTTGCTAGGATTAGGAGATTAACCTTGGAATTAATTTGATATTTAGAGCCAACTGGAGAGATCAGCATTCCATGAAAGGTTATTCACTTGTTCATAATTCATTCTAACATGTTATCATATATTAGGGTTAGCTAAAGGAATCCCAAACACACAAAGAAGTTGATTTGACATCTTATTTGGACCTTTTTATTTGGTAACATGGAAATCGATTGAAAACTTAAGAAATTCAGGCTTTCATCAAGCTGTTGGAAGGTGTTTTGACCCATGAAAGGAGGCCATTAAAGACATTACATCACGAGTGCTTCTTTCCACTCCTGTGCAGGATGAGTACCTGAATGAAGAAGTTGATGCTCGGATGATCGAGTACGAGGACAACCGGCCACTCCTGGACCTGTTCTTGCAGAAGCCCATGGGGATGCTGTCACTTCTGGATGAAGAGAGCCGCTTCCCGCAGGCCACTGACCAGACACTCGTAGGTGAGCTGCTCAGATTTCAATAGAGAAATGTTTGTTTTATTTGCTTTATTATTTATGTTATCATGTTTTGAGTTTGGTAACCCCGGTAACCACAACATCCTGTTAGTGCAGGGGCTGATTACATATGAGGTGTTAATGTAACTTTTCTCCAACTATACACTCTGATATTTTGCTTTGTCCCAGAGCAAGATAACAAGTTTGGTTGAGTTGTGGTGATCATTTAGGTTGTGGCTCCAAAACGATGACCACACAGTGACAGACGTTTAAAGTTGGCTGCTGTGACGGTTTCACGATCAAATATAGCTTGGAACAAAATTGTGATAATATCAGAAATTTAGGTTGACCCTCTCACAAGCCTGGCTGCTGCTGTGCCCTACATATACTATACTATAGATTTATAAGATATTTATATAATATTATAACTTGAATCTAGGGTGTGTAGGGACCTTCGGATGGCCTTGGGTGTTTGGATAATTAACTCATGCAGTCTGATATTTTAGAGAAATTTGAAGGTAATCTCAAGACAAAAAGCTTCTGGAGGCCAATGAGGGTTGACCTGGGCTTTGGGATTCACCACTATGCTGGAAAGGTAATTTAACATTTAATTCTAATCATAAACTGAAGCTGTTTGGCATTTGCTATTCATATCTTTCTTTATACCTCTCTACCAAACCTTAAGGTGATTTACAATGCCGCGGGCTTCTTGGCCAAGAACAGAGAAACCCTTCCAGCTGACATTATCCTGCTGCTGCGGTCGTCGGAGAATGAGCTCATTCGCAAGCTTGTCACTCACCCCCTCACCAGAACAGGTGAAGCAGACACAACCGCTCTTTGTGAATGAAGTTAAAATCAAGTTAAGAAAGAAAGGTAGAAGGTGAAAAGCTCTAACTTTTGCTTCAATTATTTGAAAACGGTGCAGAAGTACTTAAAATAAAATGACAGGCCATTCTTAGCCTGTTTAGCTTCGTCCTCTCGTCTGGCAGACGTGTTTTGTAATAAGCAGTATTCTTTACCAGCATGCATTCTTTGTCAGCAATGTCAAAATCTAATCACAGAACTAATAATCTGCTTATTGCTCTTTAAAAGCATTTTTAAAGGGGCTGTTTTTAGCAGTGGTGCTTCATAACCTGATGTCACGTTCACTGACCTGATCAGCAGTAACTCTCAGCATGACAGGAGCCTACTGTTTAGACTTAAAGTAACCTCAGTAATTATCCCACCTGATTAAAATAACGTGCACTGCTCTGTTTCTTCAGATGGTTTCTGGATGTGTGACTAAGTCTCTTTTCTCTGTTGAGGGCAGTTTGTTCACTGACTCGCTCTCTAATCCACCATTCATTTCACAGGCAACCTTGCCCACACCAAGGGTAAAGGCATAAACACAATGCGGAGCCCACGGACCCCGACACGCACCATCACCCTCGCCAAGGTACTTACAGCACTGTCTGCATTATCACTGTATTATCTCCCACATAAAGAACTTCCTCTGAAAAGTTGTTCAATTTATTTTCTCCATATTACTCTCACTACTCCAGTCGTGACCTGCTGCTGAATTAAAGTTCAGATACTTGTGTCTACTGTGTTTTTCAATCATTCTCTCTCTGTTTTTACCCAACTGTAATTACTGCTTATTTTATTTATTTTCTCACCTTTCTTTCGTTTTTCTTTTTCCCTTTCGCTGCATTTCTGTTTCAAAAGATGGGAGTGCTAAGTTTATACAGTTCTTTTTCTTTTAGCGAGGTAATAAAGATCTGTGTATAACTATACCCTTTCCTCACTCTAGATATCCTTATAACAACCAATTGGATCCCGATATAGTGGCCTGTAGCTTGGTTTGAGATAGTTACAGTTAAAGTTACTTAGTTCAACAAAGTGAAAAGCGACCTATTATGCATTTCCTTATTTTCTATTTGATATACTTGTCAAAAAAAGAAACACAAGTAACATAACTATCATACATCATATATATACACATATATATTAGGGGTGCAACAATACTCGTATCGGTATTGAACCGTTCGATACAGTGCTTTCGGTTCGGTACGCATATGTATCGAACAATACAACATTTTTAATTTATTTTATCAACTTTTCTTCTGACGATGCTGTCTGCGTTGAGAGCTCAGTGGATCTTCGCTCGACTACTCCGCCTAGGCTGTACTGTCGAGCGAAGATCCACTGCAGCGCAGCGCATGCTAGCAAGACAGAAGCTAAGCTCGTTGCAACATAGCAAATTGAACCTGTGAAAGAGTGAAGTGAAAGAGACATTTCTCTGTAATAAACTCTCTTTTCCAAAGATGAGTGATTTCTCGATCAGATAGATTTATTATTTTATTACTTTGTTGTTTCAGCAACATTAAATTTAAAAACTGTACTTTTGAGTTAAAATATATATTTATAATTTTAATAAATGACAAATTAAAAAGGCATGAACATTTTTTTGTATCGAAAAAATATCGAACCATGACACCAAAGTATCGAACTGAACCGAACCGTGAATTTTGTGTATGGCCTCCGCTGGACGTGCAAACAACACCTCCGTGCCTCCTGTGTTAACAAAATAGTAATTCCATTAACTAAAACCAGAACTGAAAGCTAATCAACGTGTTTGGGGTTTTTAAAAGATTAAAAATGCACAGTAATCAGTTTTAAAACAAAGATATGATGATATTTGTATATGTCATCATATACAACTGTGCATAGCTCCTCATGTTTGACAAAAGTTCTAAAGTATCAGTTCAGCACGAGCCCCTAATGAGCCAAAAGCTTGTTATGATGCCAAGAAGAGCAGGTATCCCTAATGTGGTTATCTCAGGCACACAGCTCTGTCTGAACAGAGGCCCCGCCTACCTGCTGTTGAAATAATGTGTTTGTGAGAGGCAGCCAATCAGATGATAGTTGGCTTAAAGGAAGAGGGAAAAGAGCTGAAGCAGAGAGTGATTTGACGGGAATCACTCAAAGCTATTTTAATGGACTCCAAGCATAAAAATATAAAGCTGGAAATGAGCATAAAAGGTCTACTTAAAAGTATTTTCCTGCATTAAGTCTCTGTGCAGATCATTATGTGTATTTGCAGCCTTGCTTTGCGAAATGCTAAATGCACCTAAAACATCCCTTACTTCCTTCTGATGTATCACTTATGTTGTGCTAATACTAGACTTGTTCATATATCACTGTGGTGGATTTGTGTTTATAGCACCATGCCTAATTCTGCTAAGCAATTTCAGAAAAATGGCTTACATAGTCAATCCCTTTTTTTAAAATGCTTTTAAAACAGTGTTAAAACTTTAAATTTTGCACTCCAAGCATTCCGTAATCAGCCTGAGTCTTTCAGGTGCCAGTATCCAAATAAAACTCCTCCTGGCAACTCAATTGCGTTGCTTTACGTGCCGATGTGAATTAGTTTAGATTGCAGCCGTACACCATTGCTAAATATAAGCCTCAAAGCCATTTGCTCACCTAAAACCAATCGACAGCGGCTACATTTACAAGAACTGTTTGATTAGTTCTTGAATTTATTTCCATTCATCTGCATTTTTTAGGGAAAAAGCTCATCAAAGGTTTTGCTCTTGAGAAGCCACGATGAGCGATTTAAATGCTAAAAAACAGCATTAGGCTGATGGCGTGCTATAAAGGTGGTCTTCTCCCCATTGTGTTTGTGTTGAGAATTAGATGTAGAGCTTATTAAAATGTTACCAAATATGTGGTAAAGGACAATTAAGTGTTTTTTTTTTATTTTTATTTAGCTGTCTGTTTTGTTTTTTTCATTGACATGTGACTGATTTGAGTGTAACACTGTTGTATATAAGTAGACCATATTCTTGATTTGGCACTACTTGTTTATCCACTTTATGCGTCTCTTTTGCAGCGTTCTCTGGAATTAAAGCCTGCAAAAAAATTCTTGCTTGATGTAAGCAAATGAAAACGGTGATTGGTGGTTTTTCAAAAACACAATCAAATGTTTGGAGTAAAATTTGCAAAGGAGAAAAAAGATAAACCGCATACATGTCTCATTAATCAGATATCCATACTGTACAAGCAGAAAATATAGAGAGTAGTACTATAATATATACCCGGTATTATTGGCCTTTTTGATATGTTTTATGGTTCTTCTGGTTTTTTTAGCCAGGTGAATCTGGAGACATGCCTTGCCACCCTAGAGAAACCACCAACATGAGAACACAGACAGTGGCCTCCTACTTCAGAGTAAGATTTGAACATTTTTTTTAATTATTTTATTTTATTTGCTTGGATCTGTTATTTGGGAGGTTTTTAGAGAGAGCCACAAATTAACAAACGAATACAGTTGTACTCAGTAGTTCACATACACTCATCATGAGCATGATTTCATAGTAATTTTGAGCTTTTAATAATTTCTTTTAAGTGTTTTGTTTCCAGGGTGGAATGATTGTACAGCAAAGATCTTAAAGATTTATGCATTTATTTTGAATTTTCTACACAGGGTCAGAATTATAAATACAAACATTATCATAACAAATTATACATACAAACTCAGATATATAGATACTCTTTTAGGGCCAGGGACTGGATAACCACCATCTACCATTATAGAATTGTACCATAAATTTCTAGCTGGTTTTCTTTGAGTGCCTTCTCTCACCAGAAACATTATAACTACCATATATTTACCACAACTACCCCTAATCTTCTTCTTCTGCTCCTTCTAGTACTCTTTGATGGACCTTCTGTCCAAGATGGTGGCAGGTCAGCCTCACTTTGTGCGCTGCATCAAGCCCAACAACGATCGCCATGCCAACAAGTTTGACCGTGAAAAGGTTCTGGTCCAGCTTCGATACACTGGTGTTCTGGAGACTGCCAAGATCAGACGCCAGGGTTACTCTCACCGCATCCTGTTTGCTAACTTCATTAAGAGGTCAGTGGTGAAAAGCAGAGCTTATGAAGTGATTACAAAATCAGCGTGTAGACCCTTGATATTAGTGTCCAGATAATTACATTGATTGCTGCAGGTACTACTTATTGGCTTACCATGCTAACGAGGAGCCCGCTGCGACTCCAGAAACATGTGCTGCAATACTGGAGAAGGCCAAGCTGGAAAACTGGGCTATGGGAAAGACAAAGGTAAGGAGAGATTTAATTTGGTGTTCACTGTTGTTTATCACTGTTTGGTTAAGTTGAGGCAAGAAATTAAAAGAAATTTTCCACCTTTTTATTGTTGCATCCCTTCATGTTCCAGCAGAAATCTCAAACATACAGAACAAACATCCAAATGTAGCACATTGAGTTCAGAGTTGTGCTGATTTTTTTGAGTCTCCTTTGCCAGAGGCCAATTTAAAACTTCAATACTAAATAAAGCTTTTTTCCACACGTTATGGTCATAAATAGATTCAAATCAAGTTAATAAAGGACTCCAGATGAAGGCTCATACACCCAAACCATTTAGGTTAAACAAGGCATGAAAATAAAAGAATGTGCTTCTGATTTTTTATTTTTTTTATTTTAAATCTATAACCAAAGAGCATTTCAAAGATCATCATCATCTAATTTCATAGATTTGAGTGAACAACAGTGATTATCCCACAACTGTAAAAGGCTGATGGGGTGTGGTCGTCACCCTGCCAAGCGGTCAGGTGGTTGGGTGGCATGGACCCTCAAGTTTCTGTATTGAAATAGCTCGAGAACAAAGCAACATAAGATTTTGACATTTATACCATAGATGAATCTCCGTGACCTCTTTCTCAAGGTTATGGTCAAAGGTCAGGTTTTCATCCAGTATGTACAGCTCCTGAAAATATTGGAGTTTGAATCCTGATGACGTGATCTCAAGGTCAGAGGTCAGATTTTCAAATTTATACCTTAGGTGCATTAACTAGGAGGCTAAGAGGTAGCACTGACAGCTGCCAGTATTTTTACATATTCTGATTACCTAGGGTTAGGGTAAATATTAATGCAAACTGAAGCCAGTTTACCCATATGGAAAAGATATATATAAATCTTATAAAGTTTTTATCTGTCTTGTATGAAACTTGTATGAAAAGCATACAAGAGTGAAAACACATATAAGATCCCTTGAAAAATTATATAATGAAACTTGTATGTTTTGTATACTTATTAAAAAAAATATGAAAGTAATGAGAAAGTGGCCACTTTCATGAGTAAATCATATATGTTTTTACTATTTCTTTTCCATATGGGTAGTGAAGGCTACTTTCTTTGTAATGCTTTATCTTCTGCTGCTTTATGGATTAGCATTTATTTATTACTTTTCTAATCTTGATAACAACCTAAAACACTTTACACTATGAAACTCATATGCATTCATATTGCACTGACGCGCACATGCAAATGCCACATACAAAGGTACCTTAAATTGTTGAACCCAGAAATCTCCTGCTGTGAAAGAACAATAACTTCTGCACTGTCGTGCCTGAAAAGGGAATCCAACAGTGCTTGCATGATTCTGCATTTGAGGCTAAACCTACAGTGTTAAGTTTATATTTGAATAACTAACAGTTGTTTTTATCTCTCTGGGCTTAGGTGTTTCTCAAGTATTACCACGTTGAACATCTGAATCTGATGGTACAGCAGACAACACAGCGAATCATCCTGGTCCAGGCTTGTGTTCGAGGCTGGCTTGGAGCCAAGAGGTACCGGCGGATATTAAAAGAGCGAGAACAAAGTGCCCTGGTGCTGCAGTCAGGTTAGTAAACTGTGCACGCTAGTTGTGTACCACAATGTCAACAAGTTATAGAGGAGGCATAGAATTTTTTTTTTTTGTGCTGCAGCATACAGAGGCCATCAAGCTCGGAAGAGGGTAGCTGATGAGAAAAGCAAAGCAAAGTTGGAGGCCTTCATCATCCAGTTTCAGGCTGGTAGGAGTCTGATATTAAATTAGTTACATTATCTATATGTGGTGCGTATTATATTGGCTTACCCTTGTTCCATTTTCTTCTTCAGTTTGCCGAGGCTATCTCGCAAAAAAGAGGTACAAAGAGATGGTAGATGAGAAGAATAAAGCAGCAACCAAGATTCAGGCTCGCTACAGAGGGCATAAAGAAAGGAAGAGCTTTAAAAGAAAGCTGTAAGAGAGATGGAAGCTATGCACAAAGCAGCAGTGAAATGTCTTTTTTTCTTTTCTTCTTTTTAACATAAATGTGTCTACTTTGCTTCCAGGGAAGCCAGAGAGAAAGAGAAAGCAGAGACTGCTTCCAAAGAAAATGAGGAACAGATAGCAAAACCAGAGAATGATGCAAAGAACGAGGAGGAGGAAACTAAAGCTGCAGTGGTTCTTCAAAGCAACTATAGGGGCTACAAAGAGAGAAAAAAGTTTAAGGAGAGAAAAAAGACGATGGCTGGAGCAGAGCTGGAATTGCCAAATGCAACAGCGGAAGAGGGACAGGAAAAAGATGTCCAAGAGTTGGCTAACAAAGAAGGAGCAGGTGAAAAGTCAGCTGATAAACAAGAGGAGAATGAGGAAGATGAAGAAAGTACTTATGAAGCAGAGGAGAATGATGACAGTGATAATACTCAGGTGCCAGAAGATGAGCACACAGAAGTGGCGGAGGAAGCAGTGATTCAGGATGCTGAGCCTAAAAAAGAAGAGCAGGAGGATGGTGGACAGAAAAAAACTGCAGGTGAGGAAGCTGCTGATTTAGAAGAGGAAACCAAGGCAGCCACTGTTCTCCAGAGTAACTTCAGGGGCTACAAAGAGCGGAAGAAATTAGAGGAAGAAGGCAAAATCCCAGCTAGGAAACAGAAAGCAAAAAGTCCTGCAGGGGACGAAGTGCTGGAAAAGGAACCAGGTAGTGACGAGGCAGAAAAAGAAGCCTCGACAACAGCTGAAAATGCAGATGAGACCAAAGCGGCTGTAGTGCTTCAGAGCAATTTCAGAGGCCACAAGGAGCGCAAACGACTCGAAGAGGAGGGAAAGCTCCCCAAGAAAAGGCAGAAGGAGAATGATGTTCCTCCAGAGCCTCCAAAGGAGGAAGAGACAGAGGAATCTCTTCCAGAACACCAGGAGAACACTTCTAGTGAGAACCGAGAAGGGCTGGATGAAGAGAAAGCAGCTACTGTCATCCAGAGTAACTTCAGAGGCCACCGGGACCGAAAGAAAATGAAAGCTGAGAGGGAAGCACAATTGAAAGCTAAGGAGGAATCTGGGACTCCCACTGATGCAGAACAGGAGGAGGCTGTGGACATCACTGATGTGGTAATTGAACGTAAAGATGAGACAGACGTTGAAAAACAAAGACTGGAGGAAGAACACGCTGCAGTGAAGATCCAGAGTAACTTCAGAGGGTACAAGGACAGGAAGAACCTGAAGGCCAACAAGGAAGCTGCACAGAAAGAGACAAGAAGGCTGGAGAGCTTCTCCAGACAGGTTATAGCCTCAAACAGATTTTATTGAAAACTCACTATCTTGTCATTTTCTCACCAGTCTTATATTCTTTTTCCTTCTAATCTATCCAACAGATCGCAAAGACGTCTGAGGACTTTCTGACTCTGCAGCAGAAGCTGAATGAGATCATCCAGGCCCATCAATCAGACCCTGAGAACAATGGCATGTTGTTTGTGAGAGGAAACGCAATCAATGGTAGCTTCACTCCCCAGCGTCGCCATTCAAGTAAGATAAGTGAGGTTGGCTAGGTGAAAAACAGATTATAAAGCAATGAAAACAATTCATAATGCTGTCATGGATTGACCCAAAGTTAATTTGAAGTTCTGGTTCAGCTTTTGATGCACTGGACCTTTAGATAATTAAGAAAGACAGTCTGTCCATTCTCACTGTCTTCTCAGCTTCTCTAGTCTTTTTCAGTCGGCTGAACTGAAGATAATGGATATGGTGCCCAACTGCGCTCAGAACCATTGACCGAAAGATGTCAAATGCGACTGAGCTATTAGTTCTATTCAAACTGACTGAAAACAACAATCTGGGCCAGGAGTGGGTGCTCATTTTTAAGGATAATAAAGTCCAGCTATTTTCTCCCTGTTCTTTAATTTTGATCGATAAAAAACAAAACAAAAAAAACAAGGAGATTGCGATTTTATTGCTGACTTCTGGTAGATGACCATGTTACTGATTAGGGATGCACCGATACCACTTTTTTGGAAAATGAGTACGAGTACGAGTACTTGCATTTCAGTACTCGCCGATACCGATACCGAGTACTTACTCATTGACAAATGCCAGCCATTTGACTTTCTGGTAGTAATAAGGGAAATGTATTTCATATTATATATATTGCATACATTTGTATTTGTGTATTTTAGTTACAGATATATAATATTTCAGATGTAAAATAATCTTACATTTAGTACTGTAGTTTATCATTGAATACCTATAGCACACAGACTTTACCTTGGGTCAAGTATGGTGAAGATGAAGTACAGTGGGTTGGTCTCGACGTCACTGAAGCGCTTCTTGACAGCTGCCTGTAAGGTTGCTTTCATTGCCTTGACGCCGTGGTCCTCGTCTGTTTCTCTGTTTAGAAGTCTCAGCTGGGATGACATCAGAGGCTAGTGCGTCGTAGCTGCTCACTTTTTTAGTTAGTTCCTCAAAGGGGGCGAGGGTGGCAACAGTCGTCTCCTTAAGAGCCCATTGGTGAGCAGTGAGATAGTCAGGGAGTTCATGCTCGGACACATACACCTCCAGCACTCGCTTTTGCTCAATGAGGGACTGGAGCATGTAATACGTGCTGTTCCAGCGCGTCTGTACGTCCTGCTGCAGTCTCTTTATTGATTGGTTGAGCTGTCCCTGAATGTCCTCGAGGCGGAAGTAGGCTAAGGCGGAATGTTTAAAATGCCCAACTATTTTCCGTCCCACTGCTATAGCATCAGCTATGCTCCTCTGTGCTAATAAGCGTGGGTAAATAAGCGTGGGTAAACTCTTTGTGCTCGTTGTCGTGTTGGGATTTAAGGGCTTGATTAAATTACTTGTGTTAAATGCGCTACCTTTTGAGCCTCCTCTGGACAATTTCGCTGAGCACAATTTGCAGTCCGCCTTTGTTTTCGCGTCTTCGTTCACTTTGAAATAGTTCCACACGGCTGACTTGTCTCTCCTCGCCTTCTCCCAGCTCTGAGATGCAGCCGGGGCCTGGGGGCGGGCACTCGGCGCTTGTGATTAACCCCTTACATGCCGCTCAAACATAGACAGGTCTCAGACCGTGGTATCGGTCCCCGGTATCGGGGGACTTTTAACGAGTACGAGTACTTTAGAAAATGTGGTATCGAGGCCGATACCAGATACCGGTATCGGTGCAGCCCTATTACTGATGGACAGCATCTTCTTTCTGTGTCCTGCAGCTCTATTAGATTGGGAAACCTGAGAAGGTCAAGTGCCAAAACAGGAAGCATTTCTCTTCTTCATGTGTCATCAAAGATAACATGATTTGCATGGGTGATATCTGTAATTGCTTTTGGGGTGGTCAATGAAGAGAGGCAATAAATTTGAAAAGTTCACTTTGCAAAAATAAAGATGACAGCTGTCATTGTACATTCAGGTGTCTCAAGTAAACAATCTAATATTTATGTAATGAAGGGTCATATTTGGTCACAATCTCAATTATTTTGCTTTTTATCAAGCTTTAGAGTCTTTTTGAGTTTTATTACAAGGGCATTGCATTTGCAGTACCTTTTTAATCTTGTGTGATAGCCTTGTAATCCTCTGTTTGTAAATTCAGTTTAAATTTTTTTAGTAGTCAACATTTTGAATAATCACTTTTGTTTTGGAAGTTGTAACAGTGCACCAGGGTACCTTCAGTAAGACTAGCATTTAACTTTCACCTGTCACCACAAAAGCCCACATTTTAATTAATTTTGTATTATGAATGCATATTCATTATTTGACTAGTACCCTAAAGTGTAATATGAAAGTAGTAATCTAAAGGGAGAAGACAAAACCAAAAGCCAGCCACAAAAGGATACTGCCCACAGACAAATGAATAACGTAAAGCCTTTGAGTTTCAGACTGTATGCTTTGAATGTATTGAATGATCTTGCATTTCTTTGATTTCATATAGTTTTTTAATTTTGCAGAAGAGTGTTTTATTTTTTTCCTTCAGTTTGTCACTAACTTAATCCCTTTGACCAAGTGTTTACATTATTTTATGGTGTTTCTGTCCTGAACATAATACTTTTTGATCCTTAACCATGCTATATTTACTATAAAAAAGATTTAGTAAGAAATAATAATCCATAATGGAACATAAAGCTTAGCTAGTCTTAAAGCCTTACCACGAAGAGAAAACTAGCTAACTCAGTTGATAACCTGGAACTACTCAGTAGCACTGGGTTATATCCTCATTGGTTTTTCCAAGTAATTTTTCTTCTTTGTGACATGAATTTATCAAGGTGCAGAATACATTTCTCAGATATCTGGTCCAAGTTGACACTACACAGTTGCTGATTTGTTGGCTACACATTCCACTTCTGCTATTTACATAAGCAAGCAGCTAAAAAGAAGTACCTAATACAATGGCCAGTGAGAGTGTGTTAACTAGAGAGCATTTAATGACTCTTACTCAGTTTATTTTCTTTCAGAAAGAGCCCGAATAGATGTTTTTGTTTCCAGTCTTTATGCTAGGCTAAGCTAACTTGCGGCAGTGTACAGATCTGCAAACAAAAGAGTGGTATCACAGAGTGAGCTACACAGATAACAGTCTTCCTTTAATCCAGGCATGTTTGCCCTTTACAGACTCTTCTCCAGCACAGTGCATTGCCTGAGGTAAAGCAGAATGAATTATCAGTGTTATTTCCAGGGGCTAGTGCAACTCCTATGAAATTATCATTTTCAGCTTCACAAAGTCATTTCTCCATTGACGGCGCTAATCTGTCCTCATGAATTTCACTGACATAATAAATCAAAATCATTTGCAATACACAGAGAGAGAGAGAGAGAGAGAGAGAGCAGAAGAATCCCAGTCACATTGTTCTTCAGGAAAGGTCATCAGATGTTAATCATGTTTTGTGAGTTAGCATTTCCAACAATTATGGCAAGAAGTAATAAGTAGGTACGTAAAATTGGCTTTAGTTGTTTGCAATTCAGAATGACCTTTGGATGGAGTTGTTCAATAATGTTACAAACTTTTTACCTTCTTCACCTGAGAGCTTCTGTACGTGATGGATTGTTTTTTTCCCGTATGTGAACAGCGATTAATAATGAGCATCAAACAAAGGTCACTGTAATATATTTATAATTGCAATAACATAGATGAGGGTTGTTGATACAGTACATCATGTATGACAAACATGATAGATTGCAGTACAGCCGCTGCAAGGTGGGAGATGTCAGGCATGAAAGCTGCCCACCCAATCACTGCATGTTCAAATACCGTACTCGGAATTAAACGTGGATCATTACGAAGTTATCAAACATTGCACTTCCACAAGTGCCTTAGAAAATATACACTAAAAAATATTCCTGAGCCTCATAAAAATGATACAGTAATCTTGAGTAAGATATAACTGAAATATATAACATCAAATGTTTATACTTGTGTCATTAATCTGGACTGCACTGGTGGTTCTTGCTTTGAATCTAGTCATCTTTCATTTCACAACTTCTCTCTAAAGTCATCTGTCAAAAGTTAAAAAATATATATATATATATATATATATAACATAATGCAAAAACACATTATGTGCATGTTATATGTTCAGTTTTCTACTGTAATTTATGTGGCATCTTGCAGGAGAAAAATATTATGAATTGCTGAGGCTAACATCCAGATGTAGAAATCCATCACAGAGTAGAAATACCTCCCTCCTCTCCAATTGACCATAATGCTAACATAAATCCTTATATATTTCCAGAAATCTGCATTTTACAGCAGCACTCTTTGTTATTAAAGGCTGCAGAAACGTATTCTGTGAAAAGTAGGAAGTAAAAAGATGGAAATACAAACTGATTTGAAGGCAGCAATTTCTGGGCAGTCGTCTCTGTCTCACCATCCCCCATCTCATCTGCCATGTTTGCTCTTTAAGAAGGGAAGAAAATGCCCCAAAATACTTCAGCTAAGAGTACTTTTGTGAAATAAAAGGCTGCAGCAGTGGTGGGCATGCCATGAAAACAAACTGACACTTTAAAAAAATGCAAACTGATCATGTGTTGAAGATATTTTGAGAGTTTATCAGGAAGTAAAGTTGTGCGTTTTTGTCAGCCTCAGTTGCCCTATTATCATCAGCAAAACCAGTGCCGGATGCATTAAACTGTCCGTGTTACTTTTCAGCTGACAAAAGATTGTCGAGAACCCCCCGCAGGAACCAGCAGCCAAAGACCCTGAATACACCAGAGGACTCCACCTATTACAACCTGATTCATGTAAGTCTAAGAGAAGGCGACAAACGATTTCAGATATTTTCTACAACAAAGCTTTGCCGTCAGCTGCACCTGTAACCGCCTTCCCAGCATCTAGCTTTAATAATGCACTATTGATTGTCAGATTTTACCCTGTAGTAGAGCTCTTTACCACACACCGTATGTTGCCTAGGTGAGAAATATCAGACTATTATGAAGCTGTCTGGAAAAGTTTTTTTGTCAATGGAGTGATTTTCTTCAGAAGTTTCCCTTTTGTACTAAAAGTAGTCCCTTTTTATTCAGTGTTTATTGTTAGAAATCTTTTAATCATTTTGGTGCACAATAGCACCTGATTGCTGTTTACTGTTCTGTTTGTTCTGTAGTGTAGTTAACACTGCAGATACAATCTATCTAGTCGATAATTAGACTGACGATCTCTTTAGACATTTAGGCATTCAACACTCAAAGGAGCAGACTTTTACTAAATCGATTACTGTGCTTTCACATTTGCTCAAGTAGTTTTAAAACAGAAGAATTCCGTTAAACTTTAGTGGAATTAATATTTAAACAATGTTTCATTTTGCATTGTTGAAAATATGAGAGAACAGCCACTAAAATGGTGGCGCATCCCATTAAAAAGAGACATGTCACAGAAAACCTATGGCTAAGGGGAAGAAAATCCACTCGCTGGACCCTTTATTAGCTACTATGAGGTTGGACCCTCTTTTACCTTCAGAATAACCTAAATTCTTCATAGCAAAGCTAACTATTGAGTTTAAATGAGGCTTAGTTGGTACTACAAGGCCCAAAGTGTACCAAGAAAATGTACAGTGACACCATTATACTATGGTGGATGGAGAGATGCTTTCATGTTGTTTACACCCAGATTTGACCCTGCCATCTAAATAATGCATCAGAAATCATTAGACCAGAAAATGTTTTTTCTTCTGCTGCTGTAGCCCATGTTCTTCAAGTTTCAACATGTTGTGCTTTAAGAGATGCTCTTCTGCATACCTTGATTGCAGCAAATTGGTATTTGAGTTACTGTTGCCTGCTTGATAGTTGTGTGGGAAAATCCCAGCAGATCAGCAGTTTCTGAAATAATCAGACCAGTCTGCCACATTCAAAGTCACTTAAATTACTTTCTTCCCCATTCCGATGATCAGTATGGACTTCAGCAGGTTGTGTCTATATAGTGCAATCAAATTGGCTAATTAGATACTTGCATTACTGTGCAGTTTGGCTAACGAAGTGGCTAGTGGGGGTCTTTTATCTGACGTTTCTCACTGAGTGACTGAAATGCCTCTCATAGACATCAGTGACCATCATGCTTTAGTTTAACGCATTATTTCCAAATTGTTGTGTTTTTCTCTAGATTATTTGATTGTGATTAGTAGTAATGCTCTCTTATAAGATGATATGTCACCATCTTATACAACAAGATATGTCATCTAGAAACCATGAATATAGAGTGTTTGTGGGTAAATCCATCCAGATATTACTGTTGGCTGTTTGACATTTAATAATCAGTTCTCCATCTCTCTTCATTCAGCGGTCTGTCCAAGATGATAAACGCAAACCCAGGAAAGAGGGGTAAGTGTCCCACTCTTATTTTAACAACCTATTAGCTACTGTTTTATGAGGTTGGCATGCTGCCTCCTTGCTTGCTACTCCTGGGCCATAGTAACAACTACAGCCTGGTGCCGACATAGGGACAGTGCAAGGGCATAGGGTCCAAACTTAATGATCCACAGTGATACACACATCCACAGTTAAATTAATTGCCCTCATCTTTTACCTCTTTACATTGGCCGAATACCATATTCTTAGAGAAATTTAATGTAAGGAATCCCAAATTGGTGGTTTGGTATAATTTATAGGAGTTGTTCTGTGGGTTTCTGCATTATGTGACATGTTTCGAATATACTGGTAAATGTTTTCAGCATTTTTGTTAAAGAAAAGAAAATGAAACCAGAAAGTATCTGTGGATGTGTGCAGTCATGCATATGTATGTGCTGTACAGGCCACAAGGTGAGCATCCCGCACAGAGTGAGGGGTTGAAGATAGACCGATAGGACTGGCTGAACAAGCAGGGGCCTGGGTACTTTATCACAGCAGTCTGAGGAGACACAGACATGCACACACACACACTGAGCCACCTTGATGTGGACACACACAATACAACACAGTGCTAAACATCAAGGGTAATAATTTGTTAGCAAATAAATAAAGCCAGCGATGGACAGGAGCAGTTTACATGCATCATTAAGGATGAGAAGGTCAGCAGGAACAATAGTGTCTCTGGCTGAAGCTGACAGCTATTGGGCTTGGGAAATGGGAAAACGTGGGTGGTAGGGATAGAAAGCTGGAGAGTATACTGATGTGATGATAGTAAATGAGAGTGAATACATGAGAAATGGGGAGGGAAAGTGTGATTGCATAGCACAGATATCTATATTTTAGTACCACCATCAGCACTCTGAAATCTACAAGTTGGTTGGTTATTCAGCCTATTTCAAGCTTATGAAACCTTATAGGCTTCTCACCACACTGCATTTCAAAAATATGTCTGTAATCGTTGTGCATTCAGTGCATAATTAATTCTGTCATATTATTTGGGACATTTCAAACAAGTCTGCGGCTATAGGTTAATGTATGCTTGTGGCTAATGATATATTGCTACTTTAAGCTAAATACTAAAATGCTTAGAGCATTAAAAAGGCCTGTAACCCTATTTTTAAGAAAAAGTTGTTATCTAAGTTATTAGAACTATTAGAAAGTAATTAGAAGGACATTTAGATTTGCCTGCTTCTTGTTGGTATGAAATAGTCTTCCATCTGCTTTTTTCCCCAAGGGGTGATAACATTTTACATTTTACACCACATCTTCCTGAAGCAAACGTCCCATTTTTCCAGGACTACACTAACATATGACACACTGCGGTTGGATCTCCTGCCAGAAATAAACCAAGGATCTTTTGTGTAAATGGCAAATGTGTTAACCACTACACCACATAAAAAGCTAACTGTGATCTAACCTTTTGTGTTCTAAAATGAGGCCAGATTTAGACATTGGCTATTTCTTACCTCAGTAGCTTTACTTGTCAGTGTAAGAGAATGTTTACAAAAAAAGCCACCATGTTGATTTTGGTCTGAAATTAGATACCCCACAAGTTGTATTCATCTTGCTCATCAAGCATACAATGCTGGGAAGTCATCCAAAAATGCTTCCGTGTGCATATCAAGGTACTTCACTTCAATCAAATGAATAATTTGTCTAAAACAATTGTCTAAAACCATTTCACTTTCAGTCTACCCAGAAGAATTCAAAAGATCCCAGATAAGCCCCCCTTTTTTGTTCTGACCCAGCTTATAAACCACTTCTTTATTTTGGAGTGCCTTGTAAAATGGCAAAATAGCCACCTAGCTTTAAAAAAAGAAAAGAAAGTTTGCTCAGTCACTCCTCAAAGCTTCTCTCACCTTATTAAAGAAACTCAAATGTTTAGTCAACCAGAAGAATCCAGAAGATCCCGGACGAGCCCCCATTTATTTTCTGACCTGGCTCATTAGCCAGTACAAAAAATGAAGAGTGATTTCAGAGCTTTAGATTACTGAAAAATCAAAGTTAAAAATTGAGATGATGCAGTATAAAACAACAGTGAAGACTATATGCTGTACTTTACCAATAATGGCAGGCCTAAGCCAACCCCCAACCCAGGTATACCTTTATCGGGTATGCCTGAATAAGACTCATGCACTGCCACTCCAAGGTCAATAAGGGGTTCAGAAGGGCTGGTTAAATGTGCCATATCTGGTTAGTTCAATGTGGCAAGTGCCTTGAGATATTCAATCAATTTATGTTGTCGTGTTAGTAATGTTTGAGTTGTATATGGCAGTGGTCCCCAACCTTTTTTGCGCCACGGATCGGTTTATGCCCGACAATATTTTCACAGACGGGCCTCGGACCAGTACCGGTCCGAGGCCCGTGGATTGGGGACCACTGGTATATGGCATAAAAAAAAGAAAAATCAGTGGATGTTTTAGGAAATGGCAATACTTCAGCTAGTTAAAACACGACCAGGTATAACCTGAAGTCTTTGTCACAGAGCCATCTTAACAAACAAACTGAACATCTGCATTCCTCTGTGAATTATTTGTATCTAGTGCTCCAAAAACTTTAAAAAAAAATTAATAGCTCTTATATAATAGATCAAAATCTTGTGCTAGCCATTGTCATTGTGGTTTTTCTTTGTCAATCACATAATTGAGCTAATAGTTTAGAAGACAGGAGAGGTAATTATAATCAAGGAGAAAGAGTGTATTTCAGCTTTAGAATAGCACATTTATTGTAATTCATCAGTCGGATAATTGTGTGCCAACCCCGCCTCCAAAAGTACAGTGATAAGTTCAGGTCAAGCTTCAAACACATCACAATGTAAGAATGAGATCGGTGTACTGAGCAGTACTGACTATATATTCTGATAGTGGTTATTACCTTATGTTAATAATGTGTGAGACATATTGATCTGCACATTGAAACTGTCCTTTTCACACTTCTGTTCAAATGGAGGTCAAAGTGACGGCTGAGAGAAGGGCTGCACAGTGCAGATGGACAGTTTGCACAGTCTGGTGAGCAGATACCTGGATGATGAGGACTTGATAATTATCCTCTTCTCAATAAGATTTGGCTTCTTTCTGCTGCTCAGTTAATTTTATAGTCACTGCCATCACAGAGACAAATTTTAAAGATATTAAATCAGCTGGTGAATTAATTTGGGGAAAATATTTTTCTCCTTTTCTACAATAAAGAAATAGTTATATTGGTGCCAGCATTTAGTGGCTTCTAAAAGAAAGAAAATCACAAAAAGCAGAAGATCATGAGTATCTCAAACACCTGCTTATTACGGAGCCCCGCAGGGGACATGGGA